TAAGTGTGTTAGGAATATTGTTCTAATATATGTACATTAAATATGTGATATGAATGACTCTCGCAATACATACATAACATGCAAGAGTGGAATTAGGCATATTCTTGTATCCTTCCATAACTAAATTGAAATATGGTTTTGCAATTAAAACATGTACCTACATAAAGATGACCAATGAACAAATTATTCAGTTTTACACAGTTTATATTCATTGACATATATGTGTTTCATTCAACACATTTTGGAGTACTTTTGTATTATTAAAAAAACATTTCTCAATTTTCAGGACCTGAAAACTTGGTAAATGAGGTCACAGGTCATTTAAAGCTTTGCTGATTCCCTCAGTCTGAAACACAACATCATGGTTTTTGTTATTGTTGAAAATAAACTAAAGATTATAAAGTAATATTTTTGTATCTACTCTTCTGCTAACTATCAAATACATTTAGGAAACCTTTCCATGCAAAAAAAATATATTGTATTGCAAATGTAGAAATTTTGGAGGAAAATTCATTTATTACAAGAAATATTGAAAAAAAACCCTCTAAGCAATATTTAAAATGTTTAAATTAAAAAGCAAACACACAGATGTAGATGGAGAACTGATCTTTCTTGAACATGACAGAGATGAATTGTTCCAAGGAACTTGCACCTTAATTTCTTTAAATAGTAAAAAATCTGAATTTCTCGGAAGGTGATTAATTAATCCAATCCAACCATACAAATTTTGGAATTTTCACCATGTTCTGTATCCATCTATAAGAACCCCTGTAGACAAAATTTAAGTGGAACAAGAACAATATCTACCCCCCCCCCCCCCCAGCAACTTTGTTCAGGTGACACAATCATCATTCACCTGGCTGAGAGACATACAGCAGTACAAGGGATCAGACAGACAATAATACAAACTAAAGCTTTCATTCTGTACTGCTTAATAAATATTCAGAAAAATGATGTGTAAATTAATTGTTTTAATAAACTTGATTCCCTTAAAGCAAAAAAACCATATACATTGTACTCATATTGTGTGTTATTTAGGTTTAAAGCAATATGACATATTTTACTTGTACATTCCACCTATTAACAAGAAGAATTATAAAATAAATGAGCAAAATCTAAAAAAAAAATTAAACAAGAATGGATTCATTATTAACTGTTGATATGTATGCTTTTTAAATATGAAATGCGTCCTTCATGACCAAACAGTAGCAAATACTCTGTTTTCGAATCAAACCTAGTACATGAACATAGTGATACTGAGCAAAATATCACAGGTTCTATGAGCAAATAAGAAAATCTTCATAACACATATGGAAATTATTATTAACCATAAGTTTTCCAAAAAAAGATATACCACAAAGTCACATTTTTCAAAAAAAAAATTTGATCATCAAAAGATAGACTTGGCAATGTATCACAGTGTAACACAGGGTCCAGTATAATTAAAGCAGCAACTGATCACATTTCACCACACTTTTCCAAAGTTTGGCAGCAAGGAGCAGGGATTCTCTGGAGCTATCTCAAGGTCTGTCAAACCTTTCAACACAATTTTCATTTTACGCTGTCTTGCTATATCAGCTATAACACTCCTACCGTCTTGTGATATTTTGTGATCGTAGATGTCTAGGAACACAAGCTGTGAACAGTTTGTCATGAGATCTATGATGGCCGCCTCCGAGATTGTCGAGATCCAGCTGAGGTTCAGTTCCCTGAGGTTTTTGGCGTGTTTAGACAGAGCTTTGGCAGCTCTATCTGTCAAGTGTTTACAGGCACACAGACTTAGTGACTCCAGATGAGGTAGTTTCTGCAAAGTCATAAATTCTGATAAATAATAAGACAGCATAAAATACCAGTAGCCCTTTTCACAAAAAACTCTTATGACCAAGATAAAAATTTCACAAATCTGTAAGATTTTGTTTGATAGAGATATTCATTTTTTTTTTCTAAGATGTTATTTACAATGTTGTCTAAAGTAATGGAAAAGTAAAGTTTTTTGTGATCTACTACAATGTAGATACTCGTAGGAGAGTAGGAAATTTTTTGTCTTAGTCATAAGATTTTTTGTGAAAAGGGCCACTGGTATGTCTCTGTGTGAAAAATTGAAATAATATCATAAACAGTTTAAGTTTTTTGATTTGTAAGTGTATCTCGATTACGCAAGTATCATATATATACTGTATCTACAGTATTCATTAGTTACAGAGTTTAAAGTAGTAACTTTTTTCTATGTGTTACATCACTATACACAGCATACCGTATGAGCAGAAATTTTAGTGAGGATTCAATTTTTTTGCATTTTTAGCAAGGGTGAAGAGTTCCCTATAATTGGATATTGCTAACAATTCATTCTGTATTGGAGGTTACTTTTATCTTTCTAGGCATCACAACATTCCTAAAATTACTTCTCGCTAAAATTAAATACCAATTTTTAGGAAAAATCACTGAATTTGCGGCTCGCTAAAAGTTCCACTACTACAGTAATTCATCAATGTACACACATTACCTTGACTAGTTGCTCCATGATACTGTCCGTCATTAAATACCCACAATCCTTTAGACTGAGTACCCGGAGGTTTGGACAGTTCCTCCACACCAGTCTAAGTGTGCTCTCAGTAACGTAGACTCCAGACAAATCCAGATGTTCCAGAACTGGAACCAGGAGCTGTCTCAATGCTGCACTGTTTAACTTGCTCTGTTTCTTCATCTTCTGAATCATCTTACTACAATATTGGTTCAGAAAATTACAATGCCTGCTGAAAGTTATTTACATTAGTAAGCAACAATTTAGGAAAGCACTGGTTTGTACAGTTAAAGTAAGCAATCTACAACTTGCAACACAACACATAAAGCTCATAAAAAATTTAATGGATGTTAATTGTCATATGATGTATCTAAACAAACCTAACTAGGTGCTCATCTGGAAAGTCTTCAAGGTCATAATCATTAAGGTTAGTACAGATGTACTGTAGACAGGATTCTGTAAGCCTGGGCACACTGGACCCTTCATGGCAGGGGTTCTAGAAAGATTAACATATTGAAAATTTTCATGTTGCAACTGGTAAAGAACTTAAGGTTAGACATTGAAAATGAACTATAAAAAGCGTGTATCTGAGCATGGAATAATACAGTACGTTACTAAATTTTCACAACACCTTATTTTCACTAGATAAACATTTGGTACAGTGTATTTATAAGCGAGACAAAATTTTCACGAATTCTGGTTAATGTTGCTTATAATCTATACTAATAACAAGAGGCCCAATGGCCTTAATGGTCTACAATACAATTTAGAGGATCCATAAACTGATAAATGAAGCTTTGTTGCCCAAAAGTAAGAAAAATAGTATGATTAGCATCAAAAAAAATAATTGGTCTAGTATCTATCTGTCACATTACTATGCAGACTATTAACAAAATGTCTTTTATTTAACCCCATATTATTATTTCTCACATTGGCCTCTCTTGGCCTTTGAAGAACATTAAAAAAGATCAGTTATTTTTGTCTCATTTTTATTCATCTATTATTTCCAAGTCTACCTTATCGTTAAAACTATGAAAGTACTTTTTTTATTAAACAATAAATATTCTTGCATAATTCTCATATTCTATTAAACTTTCAAATACATTGTTTATAGTGATTAATTATCAAAGGTGAATGGCAAAGGGGAATAACTTTGCTCAGCAGAATACAAGTTAACAGAGCCCTGGCCAGGACCAGGACACTTAACTAAATGGTCCATGTGTTCAAAATTCTAGAAAAAATACCTTTGCATATTAAAACTTTTACTCTGTTTGCCTCGAATATGCCCAGAAGCATAGAAGATTTTCAAAGAAATGCTTTTTCACTATTTTATTAAATAAATAAAGCCCCACCCTTACACCAGAACATCTGACCCAGGGGCCATGAACTCACAATTCTGGAAGAAGCACCCTTGCTCATCATAACTGTACACTTGTTTCTTTGCTTTATAACCAGTTGTAGAAAAAAAATATTTTGAAAGAAATTATGCATTTTCACTATATAATCAATAGAGCCGGCCCCACCACTTCACCAGAACCCGTGACCCAGGGGCCATGAATTTCACAATTTTGGAAGAGGCATTCTTTCTTATCATAACCATGCACTTCCTTTGTTTGAATAAAACCCAGGATCAGAGAGGAAGATTTTGAAAGAATTTATGCATCTTCACTATATAATCAATGGAGCCCCGCCTTACCACCAGAACCCTTGACCCAGGGGCCATGAATTTCACAATTTCTGAGGAGGCAGCCATGCTCATCATAACTATGTACTTAGTTTATTTCATATCCTGGAGAGAGAAGATTTTCAAAGAATAAATGCATTTTCACTATATATATCAATAGAGCCCCACCTTAACTCCAGAACCCCTTGACCAGGGGCCATGAAATTCACAATTTTGGAAGAGGCAACCATGCTTGTCATAACTATGCACTTAGTTAGTTTATTTAATACCCAGGAGCAAAGAAGAAGATTTTCAAAGAATTAATGCAATTTTACTATATAATCAATAGAGCCCCACCCTAACACCTCAACCCCTGACCCATGTGCCATAAAATTCACAATTTCTGAAAAGGCAGCCATGTTCACCATAACTATGTTCTTAGTTAGTTTATTTAATACCCAAGAGCAGAGAAGATTTTCAATGAATTAATGAATTTTCACTATATAATCAATAGAGACCGCCCAAACACCAAAACCCCTGACCAAGGGCCCATGAAATTCACAGTTTTGGAAGAGGCACTCTTGCTCATCATAACTATGTACTTAGTTACTTTATTTAATACCCAGGAGCAGAGAAGAAGATTTTCAAAGAATTAATGAATTTTCACGATATAATAAATAGAGCACCGTCGTAACACCAGAACCCTTGACCCTGGGGCCATGAAATTCACAATTTTGGAAGAGGCACTCTTGCTCATCATAACTATGTACTTAGTTATTTTATTTAATACCCAGGAGCAGAGAAGAAGATTTTCAAAGAAATAATGCACTTTCACTACATGATCTATATAGCCCCTTCCTAGCACCAGAACCCCTGACCCTGGGGCCATGAATTTCACAATTTTGGTAGAGGGCTCAATGCTTATTACAATCATGCCAACAGTTTGACTGCTTGATGTCCAGGAGTAAGAAGAAGATTTTTAAAGATTGCATTAATTTTGGTGGTTTTAGCCCCACCCCTCAGGCCCTAGGGGGGCATGGACCATGAAATTCACAACTTTTGTTCCCTTCATCCATAGATGCTATATGCCAAATTTGGTTGAAATTGGTTAAGTGGTTTCAGAGAAGAAGCTAAAAGTGTTCAAATGTTAACACACAACACACGACGCACGCCGACGGATGAAAACGAATAGCAATATGTCACCTGAGTGACTCAGGTGACCTAAAAATGAAACTGAGAATGAAATTTTGCAAGCAAATTGGCTCGCATAATTATGCGAAAATAAAGTTCCCCTGAATAAAAAGTGATTTGCAGTAGGTGTTTATACATGTATATTTAAAGCTTTTGTGGAAAAATTAAACATAGCAGTAAAGATATAAACTTAACATAATTCTCAGTAAGCACAGATCAGACAAAAAGGCAATATAAGCTAGAATCCCATTTACTACACAGATTTCACAATGTCATGTTAAAATGATTTAGATGAAAGAGGGAAACTTAATAGATATGCTCATTTGAAAGCATTGTCATCATTTCTAAAACCTCAAAAATTAGCCCTCAAAATTTGACTTCACTACAAACCAAACAATATACTGTGTGCCTTTCTACAACTCCTTGGTATAACACTTCCTTCTAAAAACAAAAATATCCTAAATGGGTGAGTACCTCCTCAAAGTTCCTACAGAAGCATGCCCTGACGTAGATCTTTCCGTTCTCCTCCTTCCGTTCGAATCTCTTGGCATTCCTGTGAGACAGGGAGATATCTACTTTGTGAATCACTTCTTCTTTTGAGTTGTGTCTCATTAACTCCAAATCCAGAAGCTGATCTAGCTCCACAAAATCTTCAAGTAAAATCATTTATTAGACTATATGTAAGTGACTAAGATCAATAATACTTTGAAATCACTAATTTTTGTAGGGAGTTAATTATTCATTGTTTTTGTGGAATGAAGTGACCCCCAAATTCATATCCCCAATGAAATGTTAAATTTCAGTACTGCAGAATGAGGTTTCTTCTTTAACAAGTTTAACCTTTAAAATCATCCATTCAAACAAGTAATTTTTCCACAAATCACAAAAATATGACCCCTCAAAGTTCGAAAATATGTGATTTTACAGTAATACATATTTTTCCATTTTAACATCTTTAAAATATTTACTGATTTTTTATTTACTAATGATGAACATGTCTTGGGCATCTTTGAAATTTCTACAAATGATCAACATATTTTTTTTTAAAAATTACCTCCACAATACAATTTGAGCCCCTCTTTTAAGGCACCATATCTAAGGATGTAACAAAGGCGTTTGGAGAGCCGGTCATCTTTCTCAAGTTTCTTTTCCTCCATTTCTAAAGAGATATTATTCTTATCTGTACCCATCCTAAAGGTATTTTTAGTTCCTGAAATTCACATTAAAGAGGTTTACAACTTGCAACCATATACATATATGACCATGTAATTCATGCATGCATATATCTCTATCTCATATATATAATAAGTGGCTTAAAGCTGAACATGATTCGAAAAAGGAAGAGAGTTATCTTGTCCACCATATTAGTTTTCTCAAGGCTGTCATTAACCAACTGCTATATAAACCTCAGATTTGTTCACGGTGCAATGTATTTTGCTTCACGGATTCTACCTGAGCACAGGTCTCCGTCATTGTCATTGTGATATACTTGGGCACGACAAAAATGACTTTTGTATGCCTCTGCCACACCAGGAAAAAGTAATCAAAAGATATTGATATCAACTGCACAGGCCAATGCATTACAAAGTGAAATAAACACAAATGAACCTTCGATGAAATAAAATGTAAACAAAAAGGACAACGTGAGATATACTGAAGAAACACAAATTTTTGTGGGGATATTATTTCATTGAATTGTCATCTAAAAAGATTTCGTTGGCATTAAATTTCGTTGTTTTGAAAGTAACACTATTCAATGTATAGTCATTTAAAAATTTCATGTGGAATTTAATTTCATTGATAATTGATAACAAAGAAAAATTTAATCCTCAACGAATATTTCTGCTTTTACAGTAGATGTACTACACACCACAGTGACCAGCTAAATCAATCAGGTATAACGAATGTGAAGGGTTTATATACCTGAATGCTGATATAAAAGATGGGAAAACTAATATGGCGTATGCCTATTTATGAGATGTGTTCAGCGTTTAAGTAAAAACTCTTATACTGTAGTATTAGTCAACAAAGGATGGATTTTACCCGATCATCATATTGACTATTCTCTATTGAGAAGTTGCTGGCTCGTTTAACACTCCCCCTCAACGTTGAGGGGGAGTATTAAACGAGCCAATAACTTCTCAATAGAGAATACATATTGACATGATATGGTTTTAAATATTGAATGTACAAAATATAAAGGCATTTCCCGTATAATTTTCTCTATCATCAATATCTTACCTCTAGCTCTACTTTTCATAGTTCATATTAAACTAAACAATCTCTACCTAGACATGAAATTAACAGATGGGTGATTGCACAACAGTAGGAAACGTAGGGAAGACAGCGATCATAAAACAATGTTGTGTAGAATTTCTGGTCGTGTCATCACTTTAAAAATATTTTTGAAGAAGTGAACTGACAAAACTTCATTTTTTTTTAAAAGAAAACAAGATGACACACAAAGTTATGAAAGTATAACCTTTATCATCTATTTAGACTCAACAATTGTAAAAACGAAAGTACCAAAAAATAAATCGTTCTTTAAATGTGTCGATATCGTAAAATGATCGTTCTAATCCGTTCTACATAAATTATATATGTAGTTAATAACGAATTTATTCTTTTAACAGTATTTAAATTTATAAAAATCGAATGATCAAAGTAAGGAAATGTTAGTTCTTTGAACAAATTGTGTTTTTATGTACCAATTATCTAAATACTTGAATCAAATCGAAAGTAGCATGATACCCCCACAGAAAACAAAAACATGGAGGGTAAAGAAAAACATCAGTGTGAAGTCTGTCAAACTAACGTCTCAAAATACAAATGTCCAAAATGTATCATCAAATAGTAAGTAAACTGAATAACCAATTTCAGTTTCTGTTCATTCCAAATATAACTGTTTTTAAAAGGATATTGGAATACATGTACTGCAAATCTCATCAGAAGCAAGTATAACTATGTACAAGTTTGGCTTTGAAAAAAGCCTGAAATTTCATTTGGTTGGCTTCATTAATCCCTCTGCTGCACAGTTTAAGTTTTAAGGCTATATATCAATTTAAGTCCATGCAATACACTCTACTGGCAAATAGCATAGAAAACTGAAAAAAGGCCACTAAATTTAATTTCCTTGAAATACACGTAGCCTACCTTTAAAAATTAGCTTTGTATCCAAATAATTCACATATTCTCAATTAAAAAGAGTAAAAAAAAACTGTAGTTTAAGTGAAATAATGTTCACAATCATTTTAAATATTTATAATAATTTTGGTTGTATTTCAAGAATAGGAGGAGAGAATTCATGACTTTTCTTCCATTAACCAACAATGCAATAAGTTGCATAAAAAGAATTATAGTTGCTGCAATAGCAGGTGATTTAATTATTAATCCTTAAAGTTGGAACCATGGGAAACTGAATACAAACAAATAGACTTGCTTCTTTTCACGAAAACTTTTATTAAGAGTACAATCTTGTACAGGTGTAACTGAAATTCAGTTTGAAAAAAAAAGTGCAGACATCCATGAAAATACCATCAATGGTTCTTGATACTGGTGATTAAATCCTAATGCCTATAAATATCGAGTATTGATGTCAATGGTATTGTGTACCATTATATTGTCTTTATCATTTATTATTTTACTTTTATTAAGGGTAAAATCTTGTAACTATGAAATTCATGTATGTATGTATGTATGTATGTATATATTATGTATCAGTATTTAGACCTACATTTTTTGATATAAGTTTCTGTTATGATTATTGCAAAATACTGGGAATTAAGGAGGAGAAGGACCTTGAGCTGAAAAAATACTTGTCATTCAATTTTTTTCATATTTTGTGTATTTCTTATTAAGTATGTCCCACATATCATAAAGCAGTTATATCATTAGGTTTCTTACCTTATTTTGGAGATAATGATTGACAAATACTATGCCCTACAGTATCTAAGTGGAGTTTTAATTTTCCATGTTTCCGGACTCATCACTCTGTCCATAATGGGATTTTTTAAGCATATATAAAAAAATATTAAAGTGGACATGTATCTTTTAAAATAATACAGAGTATAAATAGATTGAAAATTCGAAAAAGCAAGTTTTGTCTATCACACTGCATCTGGATATGGAAAATTACGCACTTTTTAAGACAACTTAAACAATAAAAAACGTAATTTACAAAAAATTCTATCATTCAATATTTTTTTATTTACGTTGAAATGCAAATCCTTCAAATTATTGATGAACTGTAAAAATTTCGAATGATGAAGCTGACCTCAATATTTCACAGGACATCGTTAAAGAGGACATAAGCATGACAAAAAACGTGTCATGTTACATTTCTCGAATACGGGAAAAACCAACTGTGACGTCATGAGTAAGCTAAATAAGCAAAATAAGATATACCTACATAAGATTTCCGTCATCAGCCATGCAAAAATAATTTTTGTGTTCCCTGTTTCTCGAAATATTTCATCATATACCGATTATGACCTGTTTTTACATAATAATACCGCCCCTGTGTTCACCGAGTATGATCTTGCTGTACTAACAGATCGTGTATGACGTCACCGACTTGTTGGACGCACAGTTTTGGAAACAGAGGAGTGGATCAACCTTTTTCATAA